TTTCTTGTCATTTCCACTTAACCTACTGACATTTAAGGTAATTATTGATAAGTATGTATTTATTGCCATTGTAAACCTTGTTTTCCAGTTGATTTTGTACTTCTTCTGTGTTCCTTTCTTGTTCTTTTTGTTTTCCCTTTTGTGTTTTCTTGGTTTCTTTTCTATTCTTGAGTTTTCTTTTTGGTTTTTGTGAATCTATTATATGTTTTTGATTTGTGGTTACCCTGGTTTTCAAGTATGTTAACCCATTACTATATCTACGTGCTTTAGGCTGGTAGTCATATAATCTCAAACACGTTCTTTTAAAAATCTACATTTTCTTACTCCCCTCCCCCTCATTTTTTGATTTTGATGTCCTATTTTATATCTTCCTATTTATCCTTTTGGTGTTCATTGTAGTTACAATCACTTTCACAAAGTTGTTTTTGTTTTTGCGGTACGCGAACCTCTTACTGTTGTGGCCTCTCCCGTTGCGGAGCACAGGTTCCGGATGCGCAGGCTCAGCGGCCATGGCTCACGGGCCCAGCCGCTCCGCGGCATGTGGGATCTTCCCGGACTGGGGCACGAACCCGTGTCCCCTGCATCGGCAGGCGGACTCCCAACCACTGCGCCACCAGGGAAGCCCACAAAGTTTTTTTGGATATTCTTTTAATCTATGTACTGGCTATTTAAGTGATGTACAGTCCTTTTATATATGTCTTTCCTACTGTGATTTTCCCTTTCTTATAGATTCTTGCTTTTTTATTTAAAGCAGACCCTTCAATATTTCTTTTAGGATAGGTTTAGGATTGCTGTATTCTTTTAGTTTTTGCTTGTCTGAGAAATTCTTTCTCTTTCCTTCTATTCTAAATGATAATCTTACTGGGTAGAGTATGCTAGATAGTAGGTTTTTCCCTTTCACGACTTGGAATATATCTTGCCACTCCCCTCTGGCCTGCAAAGTTTCTGTAGAGAAATCAGCTGATAGCATTATAGAGGTTCCCTTGTAACTGACTCCTTGTTTCCTCTTGCTTCCTTTAGAATCCTCTGTGTTTAGCTTTTGCCATTTTAATTTTGATATGTCTTTGTGTAGGTCTGTTTAGATTCATCTTGTTTGGGACCCTCTGTGATTCCTTTACCTGGGTATGTTTCTTTCTTTGGGTTTGGGAAGTTTTCAGCTATAATTTCTTCAGATACATTTTCGATCCCCTTTTCTTTCTTCTCATTCTGAGATCTGTTATGCGTAGATTGGCATGCTTTATATTATCCCATAACTCTCGTATGTTGCTTTCATTCTTTTTCATTTGCTGTTCTGATTGGGTGGTTTGCATTATTCTGTTTTCCACATCACTTATTCGTTCTTCTACATTATTTATTTTGCTATTTATTGCCTTTAGATAGGTTTTCATCTTGGCAATTGAATTGTCTAATTTTAATTGGTTCCTCTTTATAGTGGTGTTACAGTGGTCTGCATTTCTATCAGTATTTCTTTCTTAATCCCTTCAGCATTTTTATTACCTCCTTTTGGGACTCAGGGTCTGGTAGACCGGAGAGGTCTGTTTCACTGTTCTTTTAATTGGGAATAGCTCCCCTGCTTTTTCTTACTTATATTTCTCTGAATCTATTATGAATTTAGGGAAAACAGTTATCTACTGTGGCCTTGAAGGGCTGTTTTTATGTGCAAGCACCCCCGTGTAGCTTGTGTGAGTCCAGTATTTTTGGTCGTAGGGCTCTTTTTGTTATGGGTGCCTACCACATCTTTCCTGTGTGTGCTGGCCGTTTTCCCAACAGAGGGTGTCTGGTGTTGTGGTGACCAGAGGCTGCACTGGATGTTGAGTGGGGCTTCCTCTTTCCTATGTGGTTGTCATAGCCCTTTGGGAGCAGGGTCTGCTCCCCAGGTGTTAAGAGTAGAAGCCCCAAGATCTGATTATAAGCTGTGGTGTGAGGTAGGTTGGGCTGGAGTGCTCCATCTGGGAAAGGAGCCACTGTGTATTCCTCCCCAGGAGCTGTCCACCAGGACCTGCACTCTCTGATGTCATTTGTCACTCACTGTGTGTGCTCACAAAGTACACTGTTGTTGGCACTACCCTCAGCTCTGCCTCCACGTGTGGGCAACCTACTGGTGTTTTGTGTGCTCCTAGAACTCAGTGGCTGACCTGTGCCCACTGTGAGCAAGCCGAGAATGAGGCTGCTATGGCGGGGCCATGCCCCTCTCTCATGTGTGTGTTAACAATTGGGCTCCCATGACGGACCCAGGCTCCATCCTGCACACTCCCACTTGTGGCCCTGAGCACATTCCAGGCCCTTCAGGCTGTCTCCAAAGAGTCCTCTCCCCCAGTCTGTCAGCTGAAATCCAAGTTTCAGCAGCGACTTGCTGTGCACACCAAGCAGGTGCTTCTCTCCTGCTGGGAAATGCAGCAAGATAGCAAGGACCCTCTGCACTGTCTCTGCTGGTTTCTGTCCTGCTTGCCACAAGTTAGGTGTTGCACTATCCTCCAAGTCTCAGGCTATCTTTCCTAGCTGACCTCTCAGCTGGTGGAGGAGGATCCCAGGGTGAGGAAACCTTTCATAGCTCCCTCCCAAGGGCACAGGTCTCATCCTACCTAGTTACCTGGTGTATTTCTTGCTGCTTTGGTTGTATGAAATCTGCCAGAATCCAGTAGGCATTCTGAGAATAATTCCACATGTAGGTGTATTTTTGATGTATTTGTATGAAGAAGTGAGCTCCATATCCTTTTATTCCGCCATCTTGATCTCATTCCAAGTTTTTATTTAGCTTTTAAATGCTTAAATTTTAGATGGTCAATACTATAGAAAGAGATAGTCACAGTACTGCTTCCATCCCATCTCTTTCCTCCCCCTATTGGTAACCATTTTTATTTGGGTTTACTCTTCCTTTTTGAATTTTATGCAAATACATGTATTGTACATTCATATTTCCCACTTTTTTGTGTGTGTGTGTGGTACGCGGGCCTGTCACTGCTGTGGCCTCTCCTGTTGCGGAGCACAGGCTTCAGACGCACACGCTCAGTGGCCATGGCGCATGGGCCCAGCCGCTCTGCGGCATGTGGGATCTTCCCAGACCGGGGCACGAACCCACATCCCCTGCATCGGCAGGCGGACTCTCAACCACTGCGCCACCAGGGAAGCCCTTCCCACTCTTATTGACACTAAGGTAGTTAAGTGTAGCATAAACAATGTTCTGCATGTTGCTTTTCCACTTACTGTATCCTGACTGATCACTGTGTATCAATATGTGGAAATAATCTTCATTTTTTGGTGACTATTAGTACTTCCTGTGTGGATGTCCCCAAGTACTAGTTTACTCAGCTAGTCCCCTATGAGTTGACATTTGGGTGTTTCCAATCTTTTGTATATATCACTCCAAATTTTTGCCAGTGTTACTTTTGGGAAAGAGCCTAGAAGTAGAATTGTGAATTAGAGGATAAATGCACATATAATTCTGGTAAATACTACCAACAACTACTCTTCTATACAAGTTTTAAGCTTCTCAACCTTTTCATTCCATTACCATATATGTTATTTCCCCATACCCTGAATAGTACATATGTTTTAGAGTTTTTCCAATAAAAGTTAAAATACAGTATTTTTTATATGCTAAATTCTTTTTATATGTTAAATGGTCACTGAGGGATTTCCTGGTGGCACCGTGGTTAAGAATCCACCTGCCAATGCAGAGGACACAGGTTTGAGCCCTGGTCCAGGAAGATCCCACACACTGCAGAGCAACTAAGCCCATGCACCGCAACTACTGAGCCTGCACTATAGAGCCTGTGAGCCACAACTACTGAGCCCACACACCACAACTACTGAAGCCCGTGTGCCTAGAGCCTTTGCTCTGCAACAAGAGAAGCCGAACAACGAGAAGCCTGCACACCGCAACGAAGGGTAGCCCCCACTCGCCGCGACTACAGAATGCCCATGCACAGCAACGAAGACCCAACACAGCCAAAAAGGTTATAAACAAACCAAAAAAAAGTCACTTACATTCCTTTTACTAATGAAGTGTTTGTTAATAATTTTGGAATTTTCTCCATGTGTCATGTTTTTGGTAATTGTGGGGGGTTGCCATGTGAACATTACATAGTTAAAATTATCAATATTTAGCTTTGTTACAGCTAGATTTTAAGTAAGTCACATAGTATAGTTTTCCCTCACTGAGGTTACGATGGAGTCTTTCAGTACTCATGTGGCTTCACTTTTACATTTAGATTTTCTGATCTGTTTGGAATGTACCCATATGGCTATTTTTAGTTATCTCAATAAGAGCCCATCTCCTCCCCATAGTTACGAAATGCTATTTACTGTATTCTAAACCTTCCATACACCTTGGGTATTTTTTATTCTGTTCCATTGGTCTGTTTATTCATGTGCCAACATCACAGCTTTAATTACAGAGGTTTTACAATGTGTTCAATATTTAGTAATAGTTATCCTACATATTGGCTGTTTTTTTATGTTAATTTTAAACCCCACCAAACTTTACCCTAGTACTTTTACCAAATTCTCTTATTAAGTGTAGTAGTTTTGGATTTCTTCTCTACGCATTTAATTTGCTTTCTCTTTTCTAATTGCAGTGGCAAATAGCTCCAATACAACATAGTTATGGAAATCACAGGCATCTTTCTTGCTCTTACTTCTGATTTTAGGGGGAGTAATACCCTCTGAAATAAACAATTCCCCTAAAAGCCTGACTTTTCTGACATACATCTGGACATCTGCTACATGATAGGTTTTTATTCAGCACAATAGATGGATTTCATATTTTACTTTACAGTTATTGTTTTTACAAGCCATCTGATCCATGGCAAACCCACTTACTGGTACTATATAAATATGTGTATTCTCAAGTTTCGATTTAGTTCTAATTTATTCATAAATATATTTAAATCTAGAGAAAAATATTTGTGATTAGATTATTAGGGCATGTTAATTCGTGGTATATACATTACTTAAGCTGTGAATAGATCAATCTCTGTAACAACCTTGAAACACAAGTATGAATTTGCATTTTATGCAAAAATTCACGTTTTATTTTTATTCTTACGTTGGTGGGAGCTGATGTCAGAACTGGAAGGCAAGCAATAACTTTTGTTTCTACCTCTTAGCTGAACAAGACACACAATGTGGCATTTTCATTAGGTAAGACTTGTTTCTTTACATTTCACACTAGAATACATTACCCTTTTCTTGAATAAAATGACCCGGTTACTAAGGAAACCATCTTTGGAGGGAGTGTTTGTTTAATAAGCATATTTTATTTAAATAAATCCTCCAACAGGAAATGGAGAATTCACTGCCTTTACTTAGACTGTGTAAGTAGTTACATGTGAAATTTATCTGTGCAGCTCACCAACATGTCCTCATTGGAAACATCAATATTTCCACATCACAGTTCCCAAAAAGACTAAAGTCTCAGAATTCTGTATCTCCTTTGGCTTGCTTCTCTCTTGATTCCACCCAGGCTTTATTAATGGTTCGCTTCATATCATCATCTCCATCTTCATAAATTTTCTTTAGAACATTCATTAATCCCTCACTAGGATCTGTTTCAGTGTCGTAGGAGGGCTTTCTGTTAAAAAGAAAACACACGCAATCAATAATGGAGGAATATATATAATGTACATGAAACATATAATAGTAATAATAATATATAGAATGTAGAAATATATATAAATAATCCCATTTACTAACAAATTTTATAGGTATGATTACTAAGTATGAAAAGAGACAAATTAGTATGTAGGAAGTACAAGAGTGGGGGTAAGAGGAAGACAGAGTATCCAAACATACTCTGACAATCAAAACATGTACAGATTCATCTTAAACAATATATAACCACACTTAGTGCATCAAAGAATGGGCATCAAAAATGGTTAAGGGGGACTCCCCTCGTGGCTCAGTGGTTAAGAATCCACTTGCCAATGCAGGGGACATGGGTTTGAGCCCTGGTCCAGGAAGATCCCACATGCAGCTAAGCCTGGGCGCCACAACTACTGAGCCTGTGCTCTAGAGCCCACGAGCCACAACTACTGAGCCCACATGCCACAACTACTGAAGCCCATGCATCGTAGAGCCCATGCTCCACAACAAGAGAAGCCACTGCAGTGAGAAGCCCACGCACTGCAACATAGAGCAGCCCCCACTCGGCGCACTAGAGAAAGCCCAGGTGCAGCAACAAAGACCCAACACAGCCAAAAATTAATTAATTTTTAAAACAACGGTAAGGGGTTATCTTGGGACTATGGGATTTTAGGTTAATTTTTAGCAGGAAAAGTAAAGAAATAAGCTTTTACTTTTCTAAACTTTTAATTTTCTTAAAAGCATGTTTCCTCATATAATATGAAAAACAATTTCATTGACAAAAAACAAACATATGTTATATATGGACACATACTGAAGCTCATATTTTTTAATTAGAAAAGCCTTCTCTTAAACCTGAGATACCTGAGTTTTGGACCTGGTGGTATAAAAGCACAGCCCTCAATGTAGTCAACACTTCTAGTTCAATCAGTGTGCAAACTGGGCTCATTAACTTTATACTTAATTTTTCACTTAGCTCATTTATTAAGTGCCAGATTCTGTACTGGACCCTGGGGATACAGTAACAGTAAAACAGGTTCCTATACTCAGGTAATCCATTCTAGATTTAAAAGCAATTCCACAGGTAATGCCTAACACCTTAGCCAACCACATCCCAAATGCACACTGGCTATGGGAGGGAGGAGTGAGAGAAATGTGGATGGCTAATTGACTCAACGTAGTACATTACTACTGCAGGAAAGCAGAGGAATGTTTTACCTAGGATGGAAGTATCTTTGAATAAACATTTTTCAGAATAGCCATTATTAAGGAGGATAAAAATATTCTCTTTTTCACTCTATACCAGTGATAGTGAAATTCTAACTATATATCAGAAACTTCTGTGGAATTAAAAAACCATATATGGGTATCTGGGCTACTATGGAACTACTGAAATGGAATCTCTCAGAATGAGCACAGCACCTATATAGCAGCACCACTGGCCCAGGGTTAAGAACCAGCACAAAAGAACCAACCACAAGTACAAAGATCTCCTTAAAAAGCAACTTGCTAGATACATGCCCTCTTCGGGTGCCCTCTTCGGGTGCCCTCTGACAAGTGAAAGCAGATATAACTAACTGGGTTAATCAGAGGACATTAGAAGGTAAATGGTCAAATTGCAGACTATACACCTCCATTACTGATGAACATCTACAACCCTAGCACAGAATACATTATAATTCTTAAATAAATGAAAGCAGACTCACTCTTTCTCTTTGCATTCTTTTTCAACCTGAGTCAGGTAGTCCCACCGTGTGTTTTCTGCTTTCTTCCTACATAAGATAAGAACTGTATCTGTCTTGATCTGGAAGAAAAGTGGAAAACAGGTACAACTTAGAACACATGGAGATAGGCATGAATATTTAGAAAATAATTATTTACTCAATTACTCGAGTTACTGTTACGTACAGTAACAGTTTTAGGTGCTAGTAATACTTTTATGAATAGGCTGGAAAATCATACACAAACTAATTCCTTCAAATACTAGATGCTATCAAGACAAAGAGGATGTTAATGAGTATTGGGGAAGGAACTTCACTAGGAAAGCCTCTCTGGGGTGAAATGTGAGCTGTGGCCCAAGCTCCAGGAAAGAGGGCCTTCCAGACAGTTGACACAGGAGGAGATGATTCTGGTGTCTTTGAAAACAAGGAGGAGGAATGGCTGGATTTTGATGATTGAAGGAGAGAATAAAACAGTAAGAGGGGTCAGAGACAGGCAGAAAATCATGTAAGGCAGTATTGGTTAGGGAGTTTGCAAGGTGAGCAGAAACAGCAAGAATATACAGCCCTTTCAACAATGATCCACATAACTCTAGGACTCTTGAGTAATACTTCAACATGTGATTAGTGGACAAAGAAGGGAGCAGGGAGTCACAAGTTAATCATTAAATTATATTCTAATATTACCTTTAAGCTGCTACATAACTCTATGTAAACACAGACAGCAGAATGGCACATCTGTGTACCAGGGGCATTAAACTTCATTTATTTAAATTAGGTAGGAACAGAAGGATTATCTGAATTAGTGAAAAATGAATAATGTTGTTTCAAAGACAGTTTATTTCAATTTTGTAAAACAAATTATTATTCCCATTGTACAAATGAGAAAGCTGAGGTATAAAGTGATTAAGTGAGCTGCCAAAGGTCACAATTAATATGTGATAAAACTGGCATTAAAACTCAAGTCTGGGCTTCCGTGGTGGTGCAGTAGTTGAGAATCTGCCTGCCGATGCAGGGGACACGGGTTCGAGCCCTGGTCTAGGAAGATCCCACATCCCGCGGAGCAACTAGCCCCGTGAGCCACAATTACTGAGCCTGCGCGGCTGGAGCCTGTGCTCCGCAACAAGAGAGGCCGCGATAGCGAGAGGCCGGCGCACTGCGATGAGGAGTGGCCCGCGCTTGCCGCAACTAGAGAAAGCCCTCGCACAGAAACGAAGAGCCAACACAGCCATGAATAAATAAATAAATAAAAGTTAAAAAAAAAAACCCTCAAGTCTCATTCTTAACCACTTTCAGTTTATTCAACACCCTCCTGATTCTAATGCAATATTCTTATAATCTATTTTTCTAGAGCAGGAGCTGGCAAACTTTTTCTGTAAAGAGCTAGATAATTAGTATTTTAGGCTTTGTGGGCCACACGGTCTGTTGTAGCTACTTAACTCTGCCACTGAAACACAAAAGTAGCCAGACAACACATACACAAATGAGCACTGATATGTTCAAATAAAACTTTATTTACAAAACAGGCAACAGGATAAATTAATTCTAGTTCATCTTAATTCTAAACTGGCCAGGTAATTTCATGAGGTTTCACAATATTATGAAAAAATATTATGACAATTATGACAATATTACAACAAAAAAGTAAACCTACCTTTTTTGAACTGCCTTCCACAGAGATGGGTTTCAAGAGATTGTTCACAATCATGGAGTAACTCTTCCCATTTAGATTCTTTACCAAAAGATCAAATGACCTACAACACAATAGTGAACACTTTATCTTTCTGGTTCTGTGAAAGGTGCTCTTCAGTCGTTGTGGAAATAAAGCCAGTTTTACTTTAGGATGTGCACCTGGCCATCCCAGATGATAAGACTCAACCTTTAAAGCAGATGTAAAGGATAATTTTAAATTTAAGCAGAATTTTAGAAGCTGAAAAGAACCCATAATAAGGCACTGTCTTCCCCATTATGAGAACTCACCTCTCTGTGAAATGCACCTGCACATTCTCAGCGGGGACTTGATGAACTCCAGTTAAGGTAATGTAGATTTTCACAAACTTATCTGACTGATCCCATCCTGGTTAACAACAACAAAAAATGGACCATGAATAAAGTCTGATACTATCTCTGGAATAGCAAATGCACACAGCTCATAATAAAACTCACTAAGATAAAAATCTAGTAATAGAAACATGAAAGAAAGAAAGATATAAGAAACTTTTTAGATGGAAAAATTGAGCTTCAAAGCAGTTAAGTAATCTACCCAAAGTTAGGCATCTAGCTAGTGAAACAGCCTGGATTCAAATCCAGGTTTACTGAACACAAAGCCCATGTTCTTTTTATTCCTTAGAGTAAGCAATATGATCGTTAAATACTTCCTTAATTGTAGCTCATTTCCCCTTTTTATGGATATAATTTTGTCCTATTCCTAAATATTGATAATCTCCACCAAGCTGGATGGCTAAACATCAGCTTGTCTAATCAGTATTAGCTAATTCCATAATCATTTCTACTTCTCTAAGCAGTTCAACAAATGCAAACCCAGCTTCCTCAATTCCTTTCCCTGATAAAGCAGAATATAAATTTAGAGTCAAATTCGTCCAAATCTGCCAATTTAATTAACCTACCAATATCTAGAACTTATTTCATTTTTTTATTATCAAGCTAGTCTCTAACCTATATGAATTCTGCTAACAGAAAATACACAAATGTCACATAAAAAGCACATCATATAATAAAATATATATTTATCTAGTTATTGTACTATATGACTTTTTCTTACTTAGTCCTATAGAAATCTAGTGTTAATAATAAAAAAAAAAGATGTTCTAGAGGGTTCTGTACTTCATTTAGTTACTTACCATCCGTTCAACCCATCCTCCACAATGATAAGTATTTCTCCCTAAACACAAATTTAGGTTCCTAGTTACTATGCCAGAATCCTACCACCTTCAGACCAGTTTCCTATCGTCAACGAAGTACACAGCGTATCTCCTATAGTACTGCAGTACATCACTTAAACACAACACACACACTGCTTTTTGCTATGACGATACCCAAAACACATGATGCGTTTCACGTCTCTACTCATGTGCTTTGCTCATGCAATTCCCTTCTTTTCTTCATACTTGACGAACTCACCTTTTAAACTCAAATGTCTCTTCTAATTCTCCCTGACTGTTCCTCCCCTCCAGCAGAATTACTTTATCAGCTATATTCTCATAATACTTCATAAATCTCTATTCAGTTAATGAAATATTAAGTACTTACTGTGTGCTAGATATTGTGAGCACAAAGGAAAATAAGACTGTCCCTGCCTTCGTGAGAGCTCATTACTCAGACTTCAAGTTGCATTGCTTCCAAAATAAAAAAAGTCTATAATCAATTTAGGGAAAATGGTATTATGACATTGTTATGGCATTAATTGTACGTCTATGTCCCAACCACACCATGAGCAGGGATTGGGTCTTGCTCACTGTTGTGTATCCACAAGTCCAAGTACAATAAAGGCACATACTAGGTGCTCAAAAATGTTGTTTGAATATAACTGGATTCTCTTCCTCAGTTAATATCGGTGATTGTTTGGCAAACAGAAATGCAAAACAGGAAGAAAAACAAAACAAAAAGCTGTGTCCATATATACTCAATATATTTCAGAATAGGTTCCTTCTTGCTGCTACTCACCATTGTACTAATCATCTTGCTCTCTTATTAATTAATTAGCTTTTAGAATGCAGCATTTTCTTTTTAATATCTTAAAAAGCATCTTATTAAATAAGAACTAATGGGTCTTCTCTTTAAAATCACCAAAAACAAACACTCAAGACTATTAAAGAATTGATTTTGTTAGTGGGTCACTACTAAGGAATACATTGCTCAGAGGCAGAAATAACTGTATAGAGCTGTATGTAGGGGCGAGTCATACCATAATTACTGATTTTCACTGTATATCCTGTTGTAATAGGAGCAACCACAGCGGCTGGCTTTTCGTTTTCCAGAAGTTCTGCTTTCCTCTGTGATTTCTGCTGCATCTTATTCTTGATTTCTGTCTCAATCCTGGATTTTTCAGCTGTCAGGGCATCACGTACTCTTTTTCTAGTGGCTTTTTCCAGCAGCACCTTCACCTCTTCTAGATCTTTCTGTAGCTGTGTTAAAATAAAAGATAAGTTAGCTATGATAAATAAGACAATAGTTTGATATTGTGCATATCGGTCATTTCAATTTACTGAATAAGAGCTAAGAATAGGAGGTTCATTTAAATTTCCTAGGGTTGGGTAGCAACAAGGATTCTTTCCTCCAGCCTACTGAATTGTAAATAACTCAAGATTCCTTTCTTTTAAAAAGGAAAACTTAATCTTGAAGTAACAATAGGTAATCAAGCCAAATTTTTCCAGTTTGGTAGACTGTTATCTACCTTTGTTTTAAAACATTTTATTTACAAGATACGAGTGTGATTTATAAACATTTTCTGATTATAACATGAAGAAATCCAACAAAAGGGAATCGTGAATTTCCTTGTAACATCCAGTCCTAGTCAAGAGATATTAGGAATTTTTTAAATCTTGAAATAAAAGAGATGAGTGAGTACATGGTAAGTGTGGTGAAATGCTACAGCAACTTGACTGAGGTAATACTCTACTTTCCGTCAGTGATGCGTCCTCACTGATCTTCCTACCCCTAGTAATACACATAAGAAAGTTTAAATTTTTAAGACAAAAGATAAAAAAATAAAGACATATTTCTTCTTCTAAGAAGTTAGACAACTTCTTAATTCTAAAGCTCCTGGTTAATTTTACTGTCAAAAGTCTGGGACTTGGTTGCACAGTAGAGAATGAAAACCTGGATAAACAATCCAACGTGCAATGCACTCCTGGATCACTGAAAAAGCCACCTGTTTTTTTCTTCTCACGCCAATACACTGCCTACCCAAGTCTATTTCTATTACTTTCTAGAGACAGAGTCAACATTGTGTTAATTTAAGAGTTAAAGACACTGTTAGAAAATTAATGGGCTTAAAAACTTTTTTCCAGTTACCCTCTGACTTACTGCAAATGCATGAGATCTTTATAAACAAGGGATTCATTTCTCTTAAAATGACTTTACATTCTGGCTTGATACTAGCTAGCAATCTGACAGGAAGGCTTTGACATTATAGCCTGAGATCATGTAAGGCTCAATATAAAAATCCTTAAATGCTTGGTAACTTAGTATATCCAAAGTACAGCTCGAAAGTCTTTAGATTTCTTGAGTCTTAGAAAATGCAAACCAGAAAAACAAATGCTTTTCTTTTATCCCAAGTCTTTTATCTCATTTAACTCAGATGCCCTTGTTTCACCTATCTGTAACTGCTAACTTGGTATAAAAAGTCCAACTGTGCCCAGTCTCCTGCCCAAATTCTATCCCCACCTCCCAAAACTCATATTACTAAGAAAAAAAATTGCAAACTCATCTTTAAAGCATAGAACCAAGATGCTTTTAGTGCAAAGCAATCTTTTTTGTTATAATAGCTTTCAAAATTCACATTCATTCTAATAACAAGATGAAAAAAAAATTAAAATGTTAAATGAGTATATTTTGTTTCCAGAGTAAGGATTTAGTTAAAAAAAAAAAAAAAAGTAAACGTACAGAGTCTAAACAAAAGGTTTTACTTCTTGACTGGAATAGGAATCCTTTTTCTAGGAGACTCAGAAGAGAACTCTGAGAATTAAGCAAGAGATCTCCAGGCCCTCTTTACAGCCAGTTTGGCTCTACAGTACTACAAAAATAAGATATCCACTGTTAAGTCTGAAGCAATTTACAGCAGGCCTGTTTAAGGTAATTCCTCAGTTCTTCTCTGTTATTTGCAGATCTGAAACCAGTAAAATTGATCCCTTTGGTGCTTTTCCTGTACACATATTTAAGATGCCTTAGATACAGCATTTCTTACCTAATTTATCTAGGCATTCACTTGTTTTCCTTATGCAAAATCACACCTCCCTTTTATCCCTATCCATAAACACATTAAAGCTTTCTCTTCTAATCTATTTCCAAATTCTTCACTAGGAAGCAATAAAACCAAAGTGCCTCAAAATAGGCAAAGACCTTGTACAGACATTTCTCCAAAGACAGACAAATGGCCCTCAAGCGCATGAAAAGATGCTCAACGTCATCAGGCATTAAGGAAATGCACATTAAATCCACAATGATACACCACTTCACATCCACTAGGATGACGAACAACAACAACAAACTCCAGCAAATAACAAGTGTTGACGAGGATGTGCAGAAATCGGAAGCTTCATACACTGCTTGTGGGAATGTAAAGATGCACTTTGGAAAGGAGTTTAGCAGTTTCTCGAAGTTAGTTACCATATGACCCTGCAATTCCACTCCTAGATAGATACACAGAGATTTGAAAACGTATATCCACATAAAAAGCTGTACACAAGTATTCATAGCAACACTGTTCATAATAGCCAAAAAGTGGAAATCATCCAAATGTCTATCAATTTATGAATAAACAAAATGTGGTATATCCATAAAAAAGATTATTCTGCCATAAAAAGAAATACATGTTTCACCATGGATAAACTTGAAAACATTATGCTAAGTAAAAGAAGCCAAAAAGTAAAAGGCCACACATTGTAAATCTCCATTTGTATGAAATGCTCAGAATAGGCAAATCCATAGAGACATAAAGTAGACTGGTGGCTGCTGAATGGGAAGGAGTAATGGGAAGTGACTGCTTAATGGCCACTTAATGGGTTTCTTTTGGGGTTGATGAAAATACTCTCAAATTATATAGTGGTGATGATTGCAAAAACACTGTGAATATACTAAAAAGCATTGCACCATACACTTTAAAATGGTTAAAAACTGAGTTTCATCTCAAACAAAAAAAAGTGTCCCTAAATGTATACACCGCAATTAGAAAGCCCCTTACTTTAAAGAGGATTAATACTGAACACGCCAAATGTAAGACTGTAAAGTCACTTCAGAGATTCTTTCCTCAGGGCACATGGTACCACAAGGCCAATCTTTAACACCTAACAAACTTGTGTCAAGTTATCCAGAATAACACACATAGTTTTTCTTCATTTAAAGCAAATTCTCAGACTTAAAAAGTCAAATGTGAGATTTCCCACTCTTGTTCATATTAAGCAAAAAGATTTCCAGAGAACAAGTCTAGTCAATGGATACCCAACACTTTACTGTGAATAACAGTACTGTCATCTTAAGTCAAAAAAAGAGCAATCCAAGTTTATTATTCCCATGCTGTACCTGTGCAAACTAGTCTCCAAAGAAGTTAAGCTGCCTCTGTTTAAAGAGCTTAAAAGAGAAAAAGCTATTTCCCACCACTAGTTACAACTAACTTTACAATTTATTTTTAAAAACGCTTATAGCAGATTGTTTTGTCAAGCACTATTTTGAACATTTAGAACTATTACTTGGTCTTTACAACCCTATGAAAAGGATACTGTGACCCAGAGAACCACCATAACTTGCCCAAAGTCTGTGTAGAGAAAAGATGACTAAGAGAATTTAAGTGCTGGGACCGATGACTTCTCACCTTCCAACTGCCCTCTACCATGGAACGACACTCAGTTTTTGTAATCAGCTTTAATTTAACAACGCTTCACGTCCTCAGGCCAGTGTAACGCGGGCGGAAAGGGCCTGAGGATAACGTGAAGGTGACCAGCCCTCAGGTCCACCATCGGACCTACCTGCCGCCGGGAACCACGACACATACCCCCGCTCACCTACACCGCCGACCAAGGCTGAGCCGGGGGCATCGGTCGTCAACTTTCCGGGGAAAGCGAAGGCCCCGAGGCCCGCAGTGGCCGGGTCGGCAACGGGGCGCCTGCAGCTGGGCGGGTGGCAGGCCAAGGGGAAGCGCGGGAACCCGAGTACGCAGGAAGGCGGTCCGACAGGCAGGTGTCGCGTGCGGCCGCTAGGCAGGCAGCTCCGCACGGGAAACGGCGGTGGGGCGGGAGACGGAGCGGAAAGCTCCAGGAAGGGCGAGCGAGGAAGATGAAGGCCGGACCCCTTACCTCCTCCACAGTTGAAGCCATGCTCGGGCTGCGTGAGGGAAGGCCCCAGCTGCAGCGGCGCAGGGGCGAGAACAGCAAACGCCGCACTGACCGCGCTCACCCCAAGCGCAGACAGCACCGGCACCTTTCACAGTGGCCGCGGCCTGAGGGCACACCCGACCCTGCGAGAGATCTCGGCCCGCCTCCCGCACGCGGCGCCTCTAGAACCTTCGCGAGTCCTTCGAGGCCGCCCCCCGAGCCCAAGCACCGCCTGCAGGGCTCGGCCCCGCCCCGCCTCGCCTGGCCCCGCCCCGCCCACCTCGCCTCTTAGCAAAGCTCAACTCTCGCGATTAAACCGGAAGTTCGAGAAGAGAAACGCCTCTACCTCCACGCCGGGGCAACTGTACGTAATATACTTTGACCCCGTAGGTCCCGGCTGCGCAGTCGCAGCTCAGAACCGCAGCTTTCCCGTACCATAACCCAACCCCGGAAATTACGCACTGATCTTCGGGGGGTCCAAGCCGGAAGTTGACTAGAGAGTCGGCTGTTTCCGTGCTCTCTAGGACCCAGTGCCATCGAGGCGGCCATCTTGTGTAAGGTTAATCTGTGAAGTGCGAGAAAAGGACAAAAAGGGGGAGATAAAGGAAGCCTGTTTATGCTAAGACGGGACAGAATGAGAACGTTAAGTGTGCTGGGTCCTGAAGGGAACAGTTTTATTTTCAGTGACTGCTGGCGCTCTGGAGACGTCATGATTTAGGCTGTACGACGTGGTGACGTCATCATGGATTGCGGGAGGAGGTGGGGTTGCGTTGGCTATGTGACGGGACCCAGTAGCCCCGCGGGGAAGTAAGCGTGCTAATGTAGCGGGTACCTCCGTGTGTCACCGCATTTCGGGTCCCGGTTTCCCCTCCTAGACTGTTGAAGGCCTTCCCTAGTACCTTCACCGACCATTCTGCGAGTCTCTAGTTGTCACCCAGGTTTGGATTCGGTTTAAGTGAGTCTATTCGCCAAAGAAAATGGGCTGAGCTTTCCTGGGGCTGCCTTCTCCTGTTCTGGCTCCCGCAATCCCGCTATGTAAGGCCCTTGAGAACCCCCCGTTTTCAGACTGTTTTAGCCTCTGGCCGACTGAAAATGTTTGCAGCCCCGTTGAGAGCATAAACAGTAACCCCGGAGAAGTCAAATAGCCCCCACTCAGCTTAATATATCGCCGGAGGTAGCGATTAGAATCAGCACGTCAGAGGAGGAAAAAAGGACTAGAAAAAGGCAGGCTGACCATTATGGTAGTAAAGAATCTGAAGTACCGCACAAAAACAAATTACAGCTACGTACAACGTGCATGAATCTCAAACGTGACGTTAAGGGGAAAGAAGCCAGACAGAGAAGTTCTTCTCTAACACTGCGAGACATTCAAAATCGGGTTAGTCTTTCCTTAAGTGGGGAGGACAATGACAGAAAGGAGCCACAAGGGGACTTTTGAGGTTCAAGTAACGTTCTGTTTTCTTTCTTTGGATGCTGGTTACAGATGTGTTCACTTTGTAGAAATTTCATTGAGCTGTAATTTGTGTAGTTTCTTTTGTATGTTATAGTTAACTAAAAGTTAACTAAAAGTAGGCCCAGGAGGGAATTTTCCAGAGATGATAGAAGTGTTACACTGATACATGCAGTTGTCAGAATTCACAGAACGGGTACTTTCTGGTGGTCCAGTGATAAAGAATCTGCCTTCCAATGCAGGGGATGCAGGTTTGATCCCTGGTTGGGGAACTAGGATCCCACATGCTGTGGGGCAACTGAGCCCGCGGGCCTCAGCTAGAGCCCGGTGCTGCAAACTACAGAGGCCACACCACAACTAGAGAGAGAAAGTCCATCCGCATGCCACAGCTAGAGAGAAACCCTCACACCACAACGAAGAGCCTGCGCTGCAATGAAATATCCCACATGCCACAACTAAGACCAGAAAAATAAAAAAGATTAAAAAAAGAGGCCAAGAAAATATTTTTTTAAATGTATGCTGTCTGTAAATTAAAAAAAAAGAATTCATAGAATGAACTCCTAAGATCTGTGCATTTTGTTTAGTTATACCTCAAGTTTTTAAAAAAGTGTCTAGGGAGTTCCCTGGTGGTCCAGTAGTTAGGACTCCCTGCGCTTTCACTGCCAAGGCCAGGGTTCAATCGCTGGTCAGGGAACTAAGATCCCACAAGCAGCACAGCACAGCCACAATAATAATAATAAAATACTCCCCTTAAAAAAAGAGTGCCTAACTGGAAGCCTGGAATTATTTAGGTACTTAATTAAATAGGAACAAATATCCTAGTCCACTGTGTGAGAACTTGACCTAATGCAGTGATTTTTAAATTTGCTTGATTATGCACCTTGGGCAACTTATCCGCCAGATATCCTAAAGCCACAGGTTTTAAGTACCACCTGTTACCAGTGACTCCCAAATCTATACCTTCAGTTCCACCATATCTCTGAGCTCCAGACTCTGCCTTTGCTTCGATGTCTGATAAGACATCAAATTCAGCTTGTCTGAAAAACAAAACAACCAAAGAAACCTCCTGATTTCTCATCCTCACACACCAAATCAGTTCTTCCAGTTATTCTCCAGCTCTGTGAATGGTCACCTCATTTTCTTAATTGCTCAGGCCAAGCATACTTGAGCTCTCAAGTCATACTTGAGCCTTCAATTTCAGGTCCTACATCCCATTCTCTGGCAAGTCTTGCTGGTTTTATCTTCAAATATATAATGAGAATAAAATCACTTCTCTCACCTAATCTGTGACAAAGGAGGCAAGAATATACAATGGAGAAAAGACAGCCTCTTCAATAAGTGGTGCTGGGAAAACTGGAAAGCTACATGTAAAAGAATGAAATTAGAACACTCCCTAACACCATACACAAAAACTCCAAATGGATTAGAGACCTAAATGTAAGGCCAGACACTATAAAACTCTTAGAGGAAAACGTAGGCAGAACACTCTTTGACATAAATCGCAGCAAGATCTTTTTCCATCCACCTCAGAGAGTAATGGAAATAAAAACAAAAATAAACAAATGGGACCCAATTAAACTTAAAAGCTTTTGCACAGCAAAGGAAACCATAAACAAGACAAAAAGACAATCCTCAGAATGGGAGAAAACATTTGCAAACAAAGCAACTGACAAAGGATTAATCTCCAAAATATACAAACAGCTCATGCAGCTCAATATCAAAAAACAAACAACCCAATCAAAAACTGGGTGGAAGACCTAAATAGACATTTCTCCAAAGAAGACATACAGACTGCCAAAAAACACAGATGCTCAACATCACTAATTATTAGAGAAATGCAAATCAATACTACAATGAGGTATCACCTCACACGGGTCAGAATGGCCATCATCAAAAAATCTACAAATGGGACTTCCCTGGTGGTACAGTGGTTAAGAATCTGCCTGCCAATGTAGGGGACATAGGTTCGAGCCCTAGTCCGGGAAGATCCCACATGCCACGGAGCAACTAAGCCCGTGTGCCACAACTACTGAGCCTGCGCTCTAGAGCCCGCAAGCCACAACTACTGAAGCCCACGTGCCACAACTACTGAAGCCCACGAGCCTAGAGCCTGTGCTCCGCAACAAGAGAAGCCACTGCAATGAGAAGCCTGTGCACTGCAATGAAGAGTAGCCCCTGCTCACCACAACTAGAGAAAGCCCATGCGCAGCAATGAAGACCCAAAGCAGCCAAAAATAAATAAACAAAACAAATTGTTTAAAAAAGATGTTTAAAAAAAATCTACAAGCAATAAATGCTGGAGAGGGTGTGGAGAAAAGGGAACCCTCTTGTACTGTTGGTGGGAATGTAAACTGATACAACCACTACGGAGAACAATATGGAGGTTCCTTAAAAAACTAAAAATAGCAACTACCATATGACCCAGCAATCCCACTACTGGGCATATACCCTGAGAAAACCATAATTTAAAAAGACACATGCACCCCAATGTTCACTGCAGCACTATTTACAATAGCCAGGACATGGAAGCAACCTAAATGTCCATCAACAGAGGAATGGATAAAGATGTGGTACATATATACAATGGAATATTGCTTAGCCATTAAAAGGAATGAAATTGGGGAATTTGTAGAGATGTGGATGGACTTAGAGACTGTCATACAGAGTGAAGTAAGTCAGAAAAATAAGTATCATATACTAATTTACATATGTGGAAAAATGGTATAGATGATCTTATTTGCAAAGCAGAAATAGAGACACATGTAGAGAACAAACGTATGCATACCAATGGAGAAGGGGGGGTGGGATGAATTGGGAGATGGGGATTGACATATATACACTATTGATACTATGTATAAAGTAGATAACTAATGAGAACCTACTGTAGAGCACAGGGAACTCTACTAAGTGCTTTGCGGTGACCTAAATGGGAAGGAAATCCAAAAAAGAAGGCATATATATATACGTATAGTTGATTCACTTTGCTGTACAGTAGAAACTAACACAACATTGTAAAGCAACTATACTCCAGTTAAAAAATTAAAAAAAGATAAACTTCTCCCTTTCTACATCATACTACTAAGAAAGGTGGTTGCTACTCTGGACAAATTCTTTTTTAATTTCTAGTGAGTATAAAAGTGAAATTAAGTTTAAAAACACTGAAAACATTTAAAAGATATCAGACTCAAAATTTTAATTACCTCATTAAATGATTAAATTTAAAAATAAATAAATAAATAAAACCACTTCTCACAATCTCCACTGCTACCACCTGAGACCAAGACATCATTATTTTGTCTGGATTTTTAGCCTCTTAGCTGGTTTCTCTGCTTCCCCACTGTGCCTTTACGGTTAGTTTTCCACAGGGTAGCCACAGTAATCTTTTCAAATGATTATATCCCTTTGCTTAAAAACCTCCAATAACTTCCTGTTAGGCTTAGAATAAAGCCCAAACTCCTTACATAACCTGGAATGTTTTGCATGATCTTATATCTCACCTTTATGAGTTCCTTTATCTCACGGAACTCATCTCTCACCAGTTTCCCCTCTCCCTGGTTTAAACAGTGGCATTTTTGTTACTCCTTGAATCCACTGAGTTTGTTCTCACCTCCAGGCCTGTACTCTGTGCTTTCTGTCTGGAATGGTTTTCCTCCAGATCGTCACAAACCGTTTTCTATCTTCCTTTTGTGCCAGCATTTAAAACACCTCGTAATTCCCGTTCTTAAGGGTCAACAAACTCAATGCTGCTTCTCTCCAGCTGTATCCTATAATTGTCCTTACATCTATCATGTAGAAGCAAACTGACTCCTTGCCCTGCTACCATTAGGAGTAATTGGGTACATCAGATCCCAAAGTCAAGAAAAAAAATTAAGAACTTTGCATCCTGAGATAAATCAAAAACAAAACATCATCAACAAGACATACACACATCAGGGTCATTGTGTCTAGTTCTAGTCCTCCAAATAAATGAAATTCTGAACCTGAGCCTTTCCTGTAAAATTGGACTTCCTAAAATCAAACAAACACTTCATCTCTGACTTTTGCAATGCTGATGTCTAAAAATATGGATAGTAGTGTGAGAATTGCTGTTTTCCCACCATGAACAAACTAATTATAGACTCTATACTTGGAAATTGTGTAGTTTTTTCCTATAAATAGTTGTAATTTCTATTTGGCGAGCTTGTTCTTCTAAAGCCTGAACTTCCTTGCAAACTTTCTTTGCAAGTAAACTTTCAAAAGATTTTGCTCTGAGTGTCCCTTTGACAGTACTGAAAAGTTTTGTTGAAGTATAATTTCAAAAAGGTGAAATCAAGATTCTCATGCAATTATAAAATAAATATTAACAAATATTTTATGCAATTCATTGCATAAACCGTGAGGGTAGCAACAAGTTCTTAAAACTATCAAAGAGTACATTTGCACAGGTGGGTACTTTAGGCAATTTAACAATGGAATATTAGTGTAAAGTTGCAAAGTTAGACACAAACTAGTTAATGTCCTACAGGGTAGTAAACTATACATAACCTTTCGAGTCATCTATTCCACTGGAAAGAAAATAGGGATTTGCATCCCTACTGGACAAAACTCTACAGGTTAACAGGTAACTTCACTGAGTGCAGGGTCTTTAATCAATAACGAACAGTGAGTTCCACTTACTATTCATATCAAGACCACTCATGACCTCCTCACTGCCAAGTTCAGTAGATATTTTCTGAATAATTTGACTGTTTTACTTTGCAGTACGCGAGCCTCTCACTGTTGCGGCCTCTCCCGTTGCGGAGCACAGGCTCCGGACGCGCAGGCTTAGCGGCCGTGGCTCACGGGCCCAGCCGCTCCGCGGCATGTGGGATCTTCCCGGACCGGGGCACGAACCCGTGTCCCCTGCATCGGCAGGCGGACTCTCAACCACTGCGCCACCAGGGAAGCCCCGACTGTTTTACTTTTTATGTAAAACTTCTCATTTTTTAAAATACTGCATAGGCCAAACAAAAGATGTCTGTGGCTGGGTTTGGGCCGCAAACTAATTTTACAATCTCTGATTACTATTTTTTAATACATGCTGAATTCTAAGAGGAGCTGACTAATCTGACATTCATTCGGTTCCATGGACACCCAAAACAAAATGCAAATTAGAACAAAATGCAAATCAGGATTCTCTGCACCCTGCCTGCACTTCAAGAGAGCCTCTGGAGTCCTGTTTGAATTATATGATGTCACCCACTGTGCTGTACTCTGAAAGATGAGGAGCAGCCACCCAATCCAGGATCAGCCAATCGGATTTTTTGTTTTGTTTTGTTTTGCGGTACGCGGGCCTCTCACTGCTGTGGCCTCTCCCGTTGCGGAGCACAGGCTCCGGACGCGCAGGCTCAGCGGCCATGGCTCACGGGCCCAGCCGCTCCGCGCCATGTGGGATCTTCCCAGACCGGGGCACGAACCCGTGTCCCCTGCGTCGGCAGGAGGACTCTCAACCACTGCGCCACCAGGGAAGCCCGCCAATCAGATTTTTGCAAGATTTTGAAACTGGGACACTGAGATGCCAGCCCATCTCTGCTGGTCACTTGAAGAGAGGACATGTAAACTTGGAAGTTGTGCACTTAGAAGCAGGGGATGCCTCTTTTCAGAGAGAGAAGCAGCAGCAGATAAGCATCACCTGGCAAGAGAAGCAGAAGAGCGATTATAAGAACAATTGCTTAGGTTCCTGATGGCATTCCAGTCCCTTGTCCCCATGCCTCGTCAGGCCCAATGGTTTGGCCTTTGGTAGCTATGAGCTAAATATACTTTTTTTCCTTTTAATTAATTGCCTTATTATTATTAAGCTAGCATAAGAGAGTTTGTTACTTCCAACCAAGGAATCACTATAGAGAGGAATACAGGGCACTTGGCTGTACCTGCTGTACAGGATATCATTTTGCAGGGTATAACCTGGAGCAAACTCCTGTATATTTCTTCTTGCTAAATTGACTAGAGTCTAGTGTCAGATAAGTTTTTCACAAACATTGGGTTCAGATGATTCAGAATAAAATCAACTAGAAAAAAATTAAAAAGCCATATGGATTTCAGAACAAATGTTTATTACTGCTTAATGGGGCCAAAGAGCAACACAAAGCATTGAAAACATCACTGGCTCACAAAAACAGTCATCTTGCTACCTTCTCGGTGGCATTTGCTTATTTCACAAGGCTTCATTCACACATGAAAACAAGATACTAATCCAATTCAAGTTCATAACAATTATAAAAGTAAACATTTGTTGGGACAATGTACAATAAATTGCACTTTTTTAACAAGCATTACATTTACATTTATAGAGTGTACTATACATAATACATGGAATTATGGAAACATCTAATTGGTCAGTGGTGATAGAGGAGAGAAGCTGCTCACTTATTTCTTTTGTAGTCAATTAGCAATGTTTGAGCTAATCAACTCCTTTATTCTGGAACCTGTTTTCACTGGAGAAGCCATGGGCAAAATCATAGAATTCATAAAAATAGATGGCACAGAATTTCTACTACCTCCTCAGCAAGGGAAAGGTAGGAGTTGAAAGAAATGACGTGGGGCTGACTGAGAAACTTTCTTCCTTATTTGAACTAAGGATTCATACATTATGCAAAATACCAAAAATAAAGAAACTGATGCAAAGGCTATTGGGATCTTGGATTCTGGGGCCATTTCCAGGCTTTATTCTTGTGCTTTCATGACACCAGAGTCTTGATGTGTTTATGTCCTTACCATTCAGTTTCCTATATTTTATTCCATATATAATATATAGTTATTAAAAGTTACATTTTAACAGAAAAGATTTTACATGTTAACTTTTTGCCAATGAAAAAGGAAAGTAACTCAAAATATTCATCTTCTACTCAATGATTCTTTTTTCTTAACGTTTTCAGAATACCATTAATGATAAACCAGGGGTGGAGGTGGGGAGAGTAGGACATGTTGATGAACATGTTTTTATAGCAGGTAGCAAATACATTTGGAGATAAGCTTGACGTGTAGTCTTTTAGATGGAAGCTAAGACAGGGACTTCTGACAATTGACTGTAGTCACTAAGCTACTCATAAACATCCACTTTTCTCCTTACAACTCAAGATCATCATCTCCTATTGAGGTGCAGCCTGCACTGAAGTATTCATTTTGGTAGCTCTTGAAAGATAAGGAAATCCCTAAGGGCTTTGCCTGTATTATATGGAAGCCACTATGAGAGAGGAAGGATGTTTTGGAGCAGTTCCAGTTCAATGTGACAATCAGCATGGCAACTAGAGAGAAAGAGTTTTATATACCTGGTAGTAGGAAACACAGGCCACTGAGCTGTGCCTGGCCTTCTGTATCTGATCGCCATGTACATATTCAGTTGCATGGTACCTGGGTATACCAAAGAGGCAGGGATACTCCGTATAAAATTCTACCGATCACACACACACACAAATCTCACAGCATTCAAATCAAACAATAGAGTTTGTCCATGCTCTCATCTACCTGTAATTGAAGCAAGAGAATCGGAGCTACTTTAGAGTGGTTTTTTTTTTAAGAGTAAATTATACAACAGAATAATCTTACTAAGTAATTAAAAGTGTTCTTTTCCAGAAAGATAAAACAAACAGGGTATTTAATTTTTTGAAAGCTTTTTCTTCCCTAAAAGGGTCTTGAAATCAGACAACCACCTTAGCAGAATAATGAGTAGACTGATTTCAGCTCAAGAAAAAGAAAACTCAGTCCCTTACATTAGTTACGTATGTGATTCTCATCCTCAGTAACTAATCAATTCCTTTAAGGATCTAACTCTCATCTCTTGTGCCCTAAACTGTGTATTCTCTTGTTTTTCTTACTTTAGGTAGGAAATGAAGCTACTAGTTATTAACCAGAAAGTATTTTAAGAAAATGGAGTAAGGGTTTGAGAAAAATGAATATTAATACATAGTATAAGAAGATGGAATTTTTGAAAACAATGAAACAAGATAAATATTATTAAATACCCCAACATCAGTACAAACATTACTTTTCTACTTTATTATGGAAATTTAAGTAAGCCAATGAAGAACAAATTACTAACTTAATAGTTGGGAGAGAGGAAGAGAATTATTGGTTTCATGGAAAGATAGGGTCATAAGCCTATGTGACATTCCTATTAATGTTTCTGATAGGCATTCATATACAGACCATTAGGTAACTGAGAATTTATTTGCATTAAATTGTATGTAACTAAATATAACCAAATTGTGCCATGGCTCAGGATGTGGGAAGCTAGCAAACATATGCACTGCAAAATTCAGCTTGGTTTCTTTCAGCTTTAAGGAAATGTGTTAAGATTCTCAAGATATAAAAGCTAATGACTGAATTATCCAATTGAATTTCATTCTCTTAATTTATTCTGCAGAATTTAATGAAAGGAGAAATCGTCACTTCTCAGAATGTTGCAAATGTTGGATTTTTGGAGGAATGTTTTATATAATGTATGCTAGGAAAAGATGAAAAACACTCCAGAATATCGGAAAATTTCCTGGATATTTGAGCTGGTCAATCTCTTTCTAAAAGAAATCAAGAGAAGAGTAGCAATTCTCAACTATACTTCAAAGAGAAATTAAAACTAGCAGTTATTTAATGCTGGAATGCATGAGTTTTCAAACAACACATGGTGAAGGGCATGGGGTCTGGGATAGTGCTATTATAATATTGTATGAATAATACACCAACTTTTGAATTTTCTTTCCTTCTGTATTTGCTATTGCTACTTACCCAAAGACATTGCAGTGAGGGACAGTTTAGACTATGGTACCAATACACATACCCAAGTATGACATGGAACTGGAGAAGGAAAAGAAAAAATCTATGGATGGCCATTGTAATCTTTTAAAAGAGTTAAAAGAAAATGAAAAAGACAGATTTATTAAATGTTTGGAATACATGTACCTAGTTATTTTGTTTAAAGAAAAAAAATGTAATGGGCTATGAAATTGAGCCAGGTCTACAGATAAGAACTGGACCTAGAGCTATTTCTCTCTCAACTACCATTTAAGGAAAATTATGCAATTTAGGCATTCTGTGAAATGTAAAAAGAGCTCTGTACAGTAGAATTATGAAATTCACAAAACACAAAAGAACATCTTTAATTTAGCTAGCCATCTGATAAGGCAACTTGTACAAGGCTTCTTGGGATCAAAGCGTAAAGTACCAGTAAAGCTAACAAACTGTATTAAATGATTTACAGAAACAAGTACCAAGATGCAATTTTCTAGGCATTATATTCTGCAAAAAAAAAAAAAAAAAGGAAAACAAAATTAATTTTTCTAAACCACCATGTTGGGAATGTTAGAGTCAACACAGATACTCAGAATGCTATTTTCCTTTTGGGCAAAAGGAAATGAAAACTATGATGAGAGATGTCAGGACAAAAAAGAATTCTGTAAGAAAAGTATTATTTGATGAGTGTAAAGAAGGATAACAAACAACCACATCAGTTTTATGGGCTGTAGATGATACGAACACTTACCGATGAAGGGGATTTCACTTTTTAGAGTTTAATGATTATTTTAGAGGAAAGGATCCATCATGAGCAACTTGTAGTACATGCTCCTGGAGTTGAGATGGCTCTTAGATGATTTTTACTTCCAAGAGTGTGTTACTTTTAACTGCAACATATGGCACAGATGAGAGTCACTCTGGCACTACAGAGTTTGAGATACTTTGCAAAGAATATGTTCAACAGTGAAGCCAAGCATGAGTATCAATAAATGTTACTATACATAGCTGACAGTAGTTTGGTTGCTGTAAAGGACCAAAGCCCTCCAAAATAGCTTAAAAAATGGGAAAATTAGTTTTTCCCTTACCAAAGGATTTCCTGCAAGGACTATTTATAAAGACATGTTAAATATAATTGAAAAAAATACTTCCATCAACTTTTAAACAATAGCTTTACCTTTCCATGAGATAAGCATTTCTATAAAGGTTGTATATGCAATCAAAAATGTTACAAATGCATTTGCATCTCTTCATCTAGGGGTACCAAGGGCACGTTTTTAGGAAGCTACAGAAATCAGAAAAAGTTGCCTAATATTAAACTAAGATGATATGAAGCTGACTTCTATTTCCCATTTCATAACTTTAACAAAGTTACAGTATATTAGTGTTTCCTTAGCAAGTATATGTCAACATTAAATGAATACTCTGTCCCTGGTTCTACATTCCATTCTAAGCACAACAGCTGTTCCTGGGCCTTTCTAGGCTTCTCTCGTGAAGGTTTCCTAAAGATGCAACTCATAATATCCACTTCTGACTTTACATTTGCCAGAAGTCACAACTGTGTTCTTACTTAGGAACTCGCAATTCCCATGTGGAGTTCTTAAAAGGACCTGTTAGAAGACTAGGACCAAAATGATTTATTTTATCCTGCATTTATCAAAATCTCAGTTCTTTTTATCTAGTATGTGTTTTCAATAGCCTATCATATTCCATATGTACCCAACAGAAAATAAAAATAAACTAACTGTCTTTGGGAATTGTTCAATCCCAGGTCTGTTCTTTCCTTTGGATAGGATTATCGCTATCCTGGGCATCACTTTCAGGAGGAAACCTGACAGTGGTCATGACTGGCCCCACAATGTGCTTTATCTGAATAAATCCTGAAAAGTTAAGAGGTTTAGGTTGCAATCTTTTTTTTTTTGCTGTGACAAATACCTGCCTATCACTTCAACCTTGGAATAAAAGACAACTCCATTTTTATGTAAGATAAAAATAATATGAATAATTAGCTCTAAATAAAAAGCATTTAGTTCTGAATTACTTATTTCCAACCAAACATCAGGCATGTAAAATAATGTGTAATACTATGATGGACCGGAACACAGTCTTCCATGAAGAAGCACAAAAACAGGTATTCGACATGTAAATCAGGTTAGTTTAAATAACATCCCTTTTTTAAAAGTGTCATACAAGAAAGAGTAAGAGCTACTGAAAGATCCTGGCTTGCTTTCTGGCCTCCTTTCCTTCCTTTTAAAGGGACACCAGGAATCATCCTGGGTTTCCGTTGCTTTCATCGTTGTGCTCTTGTACTTGGGTGAGGCTGGACCTATGTGCTCTCCTTGGGGGGCTGGGTGGCCTGTGGCGGCTGCAGTGGCTGCGTTCCCGTGGCCGTTTTGATAGAGTTAAGGGTTTTGCTAAACCAAGAGTTTTTTGCAGCTTGGATTTCATTCATAAGGGCTCCCCTCTGATGTTCAAGTTCCTAATTCAAGAAAGAAAATCATCTGAGTTACATAAATATCTTCTCTCTGCCAACAAAATTAGAGTATAGCTTTTTGGAATCCACAGGTCTACACAGCCACAGTTTTCTTCCTACAAAACCCAGGTGAGATTTAGTTGGCTTCTGAATGCAAGAAAAAAAATTAGAGCTAAAAGAATTACCACTAAAAACCAGCATCTGTGCTTTCTCTGATCAGTGAAATGAAACCTCATTTTACCCTTTTTTCCCCCGGCAATTTAGGTCCAAATCTAGCTTTAGGCTGCAGCCTAAGAGAAGATGTTTAAAACCACAGGTAAACGTAAACATACAGATGGAATGAATTTTTACTGATAGTGTAAGCATGAATAAATTCTAGTTCCAAACACATGGCCTGTGCCCCTGAGGACGTACAAGGTCAGAAGCAGAAAGAGTTCAGGATCGTTAGTGTGGCGCAGCAGGTGCCATGGCAGGACACGGGAAGGGTGAGGGTCACTGGTAGGAAAGAAGTGGGAACAGTCCATCAGAAGCCAGGATTGCTTTTCTAATTCTGATATCCTCCAATATGGAAAGAGATTATGGGGAAAGGGATTTGGCAAAATCAGGTAAAGATGAAAAGAGGCTCCAAAGAAAGAAAAGAATGGCTTGTCAGCCAACGTTCAACTGTCAGGGGAGAGATAACAGGAGGGGTGTGGCCTTTCAACTTTCAGGATCAGCTAAGTGACCAAGTTCAATGGGAAAGGACCATGGCCAAAAAATATCAGGGTAAACTAAAAAGGCATATGCTTAAGTTCTCACAAGATATATATATAATTTTAGTTATTAAAAATTTATTTAAAACTATGTGTTTATATCAGTGTTTAAAAATGATGTAAAATGCAACTTATTGGTGGGCAGAAAATGTATTCATCTTATGTGGTAACATCGTATGATTCTGAGCTCGATAAGCCAACTCTACAGTACTAGACTATCCTAGACCACTAACTGTTATTTTTTTAATTGATCTTTTATCAAATCACCAACCTGGATTTTACATTTGGCCTCCACCAGCTGCAGTTTGGTTTGTGCCAATTCCAGCTCCATTTCCCTCAGTTGCTTCTTAAGAGAGTCCTTCTCATCATCCAACTCAATTCCCTGGTCCTCTCTGCTTATGGCTGCTACTTTCAAAGCACCCTCCTTGCTGAAAATGTCACTGCAGTGTTTACATGCCATCATTTTACCCTGAAATATCCAAAAGAGATAACCAACATCAAACTGCATTTCATAGCATAAAACATGTCCTGACACAATGCAATATGATTTTTCTTAAGACACTGCTTGTGGCCATCAAATGCAGGCCCATTTATAAAAGTAACTATTTTTCTTGTGCTATGACCAAAATGGTTATAGTCAGCACAAAACCCAACTATCCAAGACAGGTGCTACTTTTTCTTACAGTATCTTTAGAGAGACTCTGGGGATAGAAAGTATTATAGCATTTCTTTCAAATCTTTTCTAGAAACTTTGTACTACCATTATCCTTACTAGATGCCAAGCCCCGTGGCATATATGCTACATGCATTACCTCATTTAGTTATGATTAGGTATTAACACCCCCATTTTATAAATGAAGAAATTTAAGAGTTTAAGTAACTTCCCTGTGGTAGACTGAGGAAGGTCATTATGACTAACCTAGGTCTACCCCTGCAACAAGTGAAGTATACGTCCTTTTGTTCAAGTGAAGATGATCATTATTGTTCAAGGTGATAAAAGCAACTCTGCCACATGCCTGGATTGCCAATCAAGCACAGAGCACTGAACAATGGCAACTCTTTTCAAGACAACAGTGCTACTGTTTTCTTAAAATATCTTCAAAAAGTTTAGAGATAAGAGATACTACAGGGATTCCCTGGTGGCACAGTGGTTGAGAGTCCGCCTGCCGATGCAGGGGACACGGGTTCGTGCCCCAGTCCGGGAGGATCCCACATGCCGCGGAGCGGCTAGGCCCGTGAGCCATGGCCGCTGGGCCTGCGCGTCCGGAGCCTGTGCTCCGCAACGGGAGAGGCCACAACAGTGAGAGGCCTGCGTACCACAAAAAAAAAAAAAAAAAAAAAAAAAAAAGAAAAAGAGAGATACTACAGAATTTTGATCTATTTTGATGTCCTACTGTTACAAGCTCAGCATGTCCATAACTGTAACTATACCCCTCTCTTCACACACACACAAAGCAACTCTGCCCACACTTCTGTGTCACTGTGCATTACCCCACCATTTAGGCCTAAAGACTTTGGTGTCATCTCTCCATTAGCTTCTCCTTCACTCCATATTCAGCTGGTCATAAAATTTTTCCTCTTGATATGTCCAAGCATGTGTCCCAGGCCTGAATCCCCAGAAGTCACCTTCTCAGAACAAAGTTCCTATTTTCAGTTCTCATGTCTCAGATTTTCAGGTTACAACTTTTAAAATATGTATTTACTGAGCATTTATTGTGTGCCAAGTACTAGACTAAGCACTTTATTAACAGGATCTTATTTAATCTTCAAAATGACCTTATGAGGTAGGTAATATTATCTCTATTTTACAGAATACAAAATAAATCTGAGAGAGGTTAAATAACTTGTCAAGTTGTTAAGTGATATACGAAAGTGCCTAGAATGCATTTATTTACTAATATAAAGCTGAATATATTCAAATAGAATTATATCAGGTTTCTGTAACACTGGCCCCAAGAGCTGGCTATACCAACACTGCTTCTTAGGAATACCAATCCATTTGGTTTACTGCTTTTTCTATACAATAAACAATCACTTTTTTCAAGTAGGTAATCAGCATAAGGAGTTTTACCACCAGGGGGCAGCATAGAAATAAATGCTGCATGTTTTCTTTAAAAACAAATCTCTACTTTGGTGGAAAAATCAGTTACCCAAAGTGTTTCCTCCAGCTGAGCTCTATACTGCCCATGGTGTCCACTGTTTAAGAGATTAATGGGATGATCCTACTGGGCTGCACAAGGAAGTCACATCAATTCAGGCACAGTTGGGATGCAGGCTGCTGAGGGTTCGGGTTTCCAGGTTTCCAACAACCAAGAAAGCTCAGGGGCCTTTGTGACAATGCTGAAATCCTACCTCCTTTCCTGTTACCTGTCTCTGACAGCCCAAAAGATTTCTGGGAACATAACCTTTCATCTGGCCCACACCCCAGTCAGAAGAGGGACCCTATTCACCCTAATTCCTAACTCCTTTAAAACAAAGGTGGGGTGGGGTCGTGTCTACAGGCTGTCCTGCCTGTGGTGCATCACCACATATTGGGATCCTCCTATCAGGTGCTCACTCATGACTACATGAATTCGGAAGAAAGTGTATCACAGGACTGTTTCATTCTTCCTCACCTTTACCACTTCCAGCTCCTCCTTGCTGGCTGCTTGCTGTTTCTCCAGTCTGGTACTCAACTGGGAACAGATCTACGAGAAAGAAAAGAGCTACTTTACTAAAAAGTAGAATGTCTCTTGTAGCATGTGCACACAGCTGTTTATTCACTCACATCTCTGATGCTATAAGAAATTTTGCAAATGAGTAGCACTGCAAATGCCAGTCATTCCCATAAAAGAAGCAGCAGAAAGCCTGAGAGTGTTCCGTGTATAAAGCACACCTCTATCTCGATCAGTAGAAGAAACACATGGGGTAGATTTGCTTTCTTTCTGTCACTAGCTTCCGTGACTGGTCCCAGTAAATTCCTGTCCTCACTTTGGAATCAATCTATAGAATCTTTGCTGAGTATCTACTTTGGGCAAGGTACTATCCTAGGAATCCGATGAAAAGAATTCTGAATTTTTTCACGACTGAAAAGTGCTGTGCTGTGATAATCAGTGAGAAAGAAAATGTATGTAAAGGGTTTAACACAGAGCACCATTAAATAACATCTCATTATTATTGATTCTGAAATAAGGTGCTAACAAGTACCAGGAACAGACAGAAATAAGTGCTTTCAAAGCCCCCTAAAATTGTATTAAAAAAAGAAAACAAAAAAACGGTTCGAGTCTTGCTAAACTTGAGTGAAATAAGAATTTTTTATTTTGGAAAAAAATGGAAAAAAAAAGTTAGGGGAGGGCTTCCCTGGTGGCGCAGTGGTTGAGAGTCCGCCTGCCAATGCAGGGGACACGGGTTCGTGCCCCGGTCTGGGAAGATCCCACATGCCGTGGAGCAGCTGGGCCCGTGAGCCATGGCCGCTGAGCCTGCACGTCCGGAGCCTGTGCTCTGCAATGGGAGAGGCCACAATAGTGGCCTGTGTACCGCAAAAAAAAAAAAAAAAGTTAGGGGATGTCAAATTTTCAAGTGCAATTTGGACTAAAAGCATAAAAGGTCTACCTCTATTATCAAAATGGACATTTTAAAAAATCCCAGTCTACTCAAAAATAGTTCTAGAGACCTGGGACTAGGTTGAGTTCAGTCTCCAATTTGTCCAGATCCAAGCCTGGAAACAATAAATAGGACTGTAGGGCTGATGTTAAAAAGAAGAGACTTCTCAAGCAATTTTGGCAACAAATAAACCCTTTTAAATAAGCCCAAACATATAGCCAGTAATAGCCAATTCCAACTACAGAATGCATTTAGATTACACTATATGTTTAACTGTCTTCAAAGAGATGGGTCTGTTGCCTTTTACATTACTTCAAGTGCTTGCCAGATAATATTCAAGGCAAGGATTGCTCCTTGAAGAGTGCTGCATATGGTGGCCACTCATGGCCTGATGAAAAAATGATGAAAAAAATGCTTCTGCAGCAATGGCAAGCTCCACAGCACACGGTCTTTAACGTTCCTTATATTGCGTAATGTCTAACCAGCCCTTCTCCTAGTTACCTAAATTCAAAAGCTCAGGATCTCTTCCAGTATTTTCCCTTATCTAGCAAAAAAATGACTCTTGTGTTTCCTGCTTCTCCGTTTTCATTACTACTTATTGTAGTTCAGGGCGCTCTTTTTTTCCTCCCCTGGACTCTGCTGTTGGCCTCTTACTGCTCTGTGTCTTTCTTTGCCCGTGCATCTCTCCACTTGGTTCCACATTTCTCCCTGGACAGAGTAGTGCCAATTATATGTCCCTGGTCATGCCACTGTCCTCCTATAAACAGAATAAAATCCGAACTCCTCAACCTATCCCTGAAGACCTTCCTTGAACTAGGCCCCAACTCACCTTTGCTTCTCTCGTCTGTACTTGAAACTCTTGCTAAACAAGACTCTTTGTCACTAATCTACCTCCCATGCCTTTGCACATGCTGTTTCCACCTTTCCACCATTTCCATCCTCTCCTTCTCCATCTCCAGATACCCAAACCTCACCTAGCCTTTGAAGCACAACTCAAATCACCTCCTTCTCCAGGAAGGGATTCCTCATTTCCCACATGTAAGAAATTCCCTCTCCTCTTAATTATGGACAGGTTTTACCTCTGTATTACAAAATCAGCTTCCAGAGAAGAGAAATTGAATGAATCTATCTTTTATTCCTCCAAAGTAACAAGCCTCACATGTAGCAGGCATTAAATAAACATATATTGATTTTGTACATCTGTATGTAGATATAGATATATAGATACAAATAGATTATAAAAGAGAAGAAGATAGCTCTGAAGCCTTATTTCTAAGCAATCTTCCATGAAGGGGCAGAATCCTTATGGAAAGGTGTTCATAATATACAAATGAACTAGTTCCCCCCAAAATGCATGAACAATATAACTTACATTTTTATTTATATAGCAACAAAGCATACTCAGTGTATTTAGTGATTCTTTCTAGTTGGCAAGATTAAGGGAGGTTTGTTTTCCTTGTGCTTTTCTGCACTTCCACAAGGAATGTAAATTTCATTTATAAGCAAAAAAACACTTTTTAAAAAAGTAAGCCTTAGGGCTTCCCTGGTGGCGCAGTGGTTGAGAGTCCGCCTGCCGATGCAGGGGACACGGGTCTGTGCCCCAGTCCGGGAAGATCCCACATGCCGTGGAGCGGCTGGGCCCATGAGCCATGGCCGCTGAGTCTGCGCGTCCGGAGCCTGTGCTCCGCAACGGGAGAGGCCACAACAGTGAGAGGCCCGCGTACCGCAAAAAAATAAAAAATAAAAAAAAAAAGGAAGCCTTAGACTTCAAACTCCTCTGCGAGGCAGGAGACCCCAGGGAAATTTCTGGATAAGTAGGTGGCATACAGTACCTTAACAATTCTGGAAAACTGGAACTTGAACAGTCCAGTCAGAGTACTTCGGCAACAAGAGGAGTCCTTGCCATGGCCCAGCATAACCAGCAGGGACAGGAATATACTACTGGAGCTGGAATGAAGGCTTTCTGAGACACGCCGCCACCCCCACCCCCGCGATGGGACTAGAAATGTCCTCAAAGAGAAGAGCACCGCCCCACCATTAAAAGATCTTTTTAAGGTTAACAAGAGGAGGTTAATTGCTAGCACTGGCCTCTGTTGGGTAAGGCCATATAGCCATGTGGGAAAAAGAGCTCCCATGTTCTCTACTGTGACAACAAAGGACTCATGGATCTCCTAGCTGTTGCCATTTAATACAGTGACTAAACTTTAGTGCTCGGCCAAGAGGCAAATGTTACTAGTGTGATCTATTGGAAATTAGCTTCTGAGTAAGGCAGAGATGGGATCCCAATGGTAATAAGATTTCTTGTTCCTCTAAATCTATCAAACATTGAAAACAACCAACAGATTGTTTTGCTCAATTAAACTTCTCATATTATCAGCAAGCAGGTCCAACCACTGTCTGTTTCAGAGGAGAAAATGAGCCAACAAGTATAATCAATGCAGTACAGTTACTGTTCTGGAAACTCTAAAAACAAACAAACTGTCCCCAAAGAAAAGAGCAAAACAATTACTTTTACAGTGTCGAAGCCCACAATGGCACATTACCTGTTTATACTCGGCAATGATAGCTGTAGTCTTCTTTATTTCATATTCTGCCTTCTCTAGCTGTTTCCTGAAGACTTCTTTCAGCTAAAAGAGTAAGAATGAGAAACATCAAGACTCAGTCAAAATCTTAATAAATTTCCATGAACATCCATATTCAAGTCTGCCTGATTCATAGTCAACAACAATGTAAACAACTGTAAGTACACACATATTTCCTACTGCAGCTGCATGTTGGTCATTTGAAAAACCTAGTCATCTCCAGAGATACAGAAATCTTACTTTTTTGCCTGCAATGTATAAGAATATGAGCAATCCTAGTATAAAACTGCTTATGCTTCTTACTACTTTATAAATATATTGTTAAATAAGTGTCCATTCAGAAGCTATCTTTATCCTTAGGAGAGTCTAAAACAAAACATCAAGACAGCATTGCATGTACTCTTGATGCTGTGCAATAAATTACTGAAAAAAACATTTTAGGGCTTCTTCTTTCATCCCATATCGACACTGCTGTTACCCCTCAGGAGGTAGGAACAAGAGGCTTTTGGGACTGGAGTCAGACATGGGAGATGGGGACTGAAGAAACACTGACTTTAGAAGAAGTTAAAGTGACATAATGCAGTACTTGTTACAGTAGCAGAAATACTAAATTATGAATGCTAAACCTAAAAGCACAGTTATTTCTGTAGCCTGGCAGCTCTAGAATTCTAGGTATAGAAGAAGGTTAAGGCAATGAAAAAGCTCAGGTGTCACCAGATAAAAAGGAAAGAATTCGATTCTCCCAAATTGACCAAACGAAAAACAACTCTGGTTAATCTTTAAGTACACAGTCAGAAAAAGCTGATAATTCTGCTTTGCAGCATCCCAAATTATGAATGCAGTATACTCGGTACCTGTAAATTCACAAGTGACTGCAATTTATAACTGGTCCTATCGTTATAAGATTTCGGAATTTCTTCATATTTGCTACATTCTAAAATTCTAAGAGCATTTGTAGGTTATACTGATTCAAACTTAGTTGTTTATATTGGTCTCTGTTCTCTATTACATAATTCGAGGACTTCAGCCATACCCTTCGTCCCTTCTGCAATAAGGCCGCACTGACTCAGGGTCAACTGAGATAGCTGAGATGCTTTGAGCAAGTTCATTTAATTTCTCTAAGCTGTAGTTTACTCATCTGACAAATGAGAATAATCCCTATCTCACAAGGGAACCACAACAATTAAAACAGGATACACACACACACACACACACACACACACACACACACACACACACACA